ATATGGGCGCCCCTTCACGATTGTGACTGACCATAAGCCCCTTTTGGGCCTCCTGGCCACTGACAAGCAAACGCCGCAAGTCATGTCGCCCCGGGTGCTCCGGTGGTCTGATTTTGCCGGACCGTTCCACGGACTAACATTCCTAATCACAGTTGACTCCTACTCCAAATGGCTGGAGGTCAGCCCTGTGTTCACCACCTCCACCAAGGCAGTAATCCGATCCCTATGCCGGCTCTTCGCCACGCACGGCCTGCCGGACACTATAGTCTAGGACAATGGGGCGGCCTTCACGTCTGCGGAGTTCCAGGAGTTCCTACAGAGGACTCTGATCAGGCACATCCGCTCAGCACCCTTCCACCCCGTGACCAACGGCCAGGCAGAGCAAATGGTGCGGACCGCGAAGGTAGCCCTTAGCCGGATCTCCGAAGGGGACTGGGAGTTCCGCCTCGCCCGATTCCTCCTGACCTACAGGATGACGCCCAACCCCGTCACCGGTCACAGCCCCGCCGAGCTGCTAATGGGCCAGCGCCCGACAACGCTGCTGGATCGACTGCACCCCGACCGGGCACCGGGCTCGAGGAGGTTGACCGAACAGCGGGAGGCTCCAAGGGGGTTCTTCCCAGGGGACCCAGTGTTCCTCCGGAACTACGGGTCCAGACCCCCTTGGATAGTGGGCGGTGTCACTGGAGTCAAGGGTCCAGTCTCCTACGAGGTGGCCACAGAAGACGGTTGGATTCTGCAGAGACACACAGACCAACTGCGGAGGCGGCAACTTCCGGAGCCGGGGGACCCCTTCCAGCTGACGACCGGGGCAGGCGGTCCCGCTCAGGAATCCGACATTCCAGCCGAAGCCCATCCCAGCGAAGAGGCTACGCCGGGCGGCTCCCTTCCAGAGGAACTCGAACCAATAGCCCAACAGCTGGCCCCACAACTGGCGCAACCACCCCTGGGCACAGCTAACCCGCCGGAACCAGAGGTTAGTGAGCCAGTGCCGGCCCCCGTTCCACACGTGAGCGCCGCCCCCCTGCGTACTTGCAGGATTACGTGACGTAGGCATAGTCGGAACTATGGGGGGAGGGGTGTTATGTACGTGGACCGCCACAAGGGGTCCGTGGACTGGCCAGAGCTTGGATCCTAGAACAATGGAAACTTCGGATCCTGGATCCCCCAGCCCCAACCAATAGCCACCTTGGCGGGACATTCAAACCCTCCAATGGGAGTGGGGGGGTTGCTGGGTGGATATGTATATAGTTGGCCCTGTTGGCCGTTAGAGTCAGTCTTTGTTGTGAGAAGTACAATAAACGTGTGCTACAGTATGTCGTCGTCCAAGTCCTCCATGCGGCGAACCCAGTACTTTTCAGCTGTGACCTCAGTTGCAAGGCAAACCTAGACAAAGTTAAACCCTCCTAAGTCTACTGAAGGCATACAGGGAGGATATATACACTCACTTGTACCACAGTTTCCAAGAGCACACAGCAAAGTCCCCTCTTATTTCCTCCTGTATGAGCTACTGTAAATATGCACTCATCATGAAGTCAACACGGAAATTCCAGGTGATATAAAACGCAGCAAACTGAGAGGTAGGCACAGTATGTGTACTACAACCATGCGGCAGTCACTCAGTTATCACGTTCAATTCAAGGAACTGTTTATCACCTAGAAAGCCTTTTAAGGCCTTGGACCCTCCGATCTACAGGACTGCCACTCCTGTTCACTCATCTAAACCAAGCCTCCCACTGCAAATGGGTAAGATTGACAGGGTGACAGTGGCCTATACAGATGCATTTTCTGTTGTGGAATGGCCTGCCTGAGGAAATCAGGAAGGCTCCCACACTTCTGTTATTCCGCAAAGTGTGTAAAACAGATTTGTTCAGGACCACACTTCCATAGAGGGAATAGAGCTGTAGTAGTCATGCCAACCACATTACTACGGAAACATCTTCGGACAGCGCTGGCTCTTCAGCTTGGAAACAGAGATGAACACCGCGACACTACGGATTCGACTGGCTTTCGAGCAAGGGAGGAAACCCATAAATAGATGGAGCTTTTAAAAGAGAACAGTTTATGGCACACATTACCTGTTCATTGCACACAATACCTTGCTCTTCCAGCATTGTTTCCTACTTCTGCAATTCCATTTTTGTGCACTGTTTATGACATATAATGCCCAAAATGTCTTCTGGCATTGCTTCTAAGTTTTGTGATCCTAGTCCTATTGCATGGTTTGTTGGCTGCCTCGTGCTACCTGATCACATTGTCTTACATGATATAAGCTACCTTGAGTCTCAGCAAGAAAGGCAGACAATAAATAAAATAAATAAAATACATCCTACACCTACAGAGCAGTCCTAAGCAGATTTACAGCCTTCCAAACATACTGGCTACAATGGACTTAGAAGGCTGTAATTTGGACTGCACTATTAAGAAACTTCCTATTAGAGCGAATAGTCAACATACAGAAAATTACCCTAGCAACACAAACTAGAGATATGGTAATGACTACAATCTAATCCATGTATAACTATGATACTTACATTTTAGTGGCACGTGTATCTATGGATGCCATCCAGTTGGGCAAGTGTTGTCATTAAAGAAGCTGAATACCAGCCTGATCACAATCAAATCTGATCAGTTCCTGTGAAGCAGAAATAACAGCATACATGCAACCATAACCCAATTGCCAGCAGTGAGACGATGTCATAGTGATATTCTGCCAGCAAGAGAGCATAATGCCCCACTGGTGTAATTCTACATGGAAGTGGGGTGGAAGAAGAAGCACAATCACATTTCTAAATGAACTGCTTTCTATTCCAGCCATAGCCATTTACTATTGCTGGCCAAACAATCATCCCATTTTGCCATGCAGAGCTGTTTTAAACCTATAACATCTTCCTCCGGTTTATAGGAGGAAGCGTGCTTTTTTCCTTGTTCTCTTTTGCGCACTATGGTCCTCCATGCAGTTGAGCGTGCTTTTTTCCTTGTTCTCTTTTGCGAAGAGGTGTGGAGAGGTGACATCATGGAAACATGCAGAAATCACCATGTCCTGGTAGGCTAATAGGGGGTGATGGGTGATATCACTACTGGTGCCATTGCTATACAGCTTTTTTCAGATGAGAGATCACAGGACACCAACTAGCTATACTAGTATCATCACCAGTAACATTATTCTAGGCAGAAAGTCAGTGCTTTCTAAAATCACAGGTGACACTGATATGGAAAGAACAGACATGAAACAAGTTTCATAAATCAGTTAACCTATACACTGGCAGTCTCCAACCACAAAACCCCAGTAAATTTATTGTCCACAAGGCAATTATCTACCTTCATAATGTCTGCATAATCCATACACACACATATATATATATCGATTGGCTGGTTTGCTCAAAAGTAAGCCCCACTGACTTTCATAAGACCCGTAGGAATGCCACCTATAGGGAGTGAATTATGTCAGCAGAACTTTTAAATATTTCTAAGCAAACATTGCCTTAGGCTGCAGTGCCGAGCATATTTATATGAATGGTCCACTGAACACAGCAGAGCTTACTATCAGGAAAATATGCATAATATTGAGCTGCTATGGACCTCCTACCAACCTAGTAAACACCCAAGGGATTACAGCCTAAATCGATTAACAAAGCCAGAAAAAGGAGAGAGCAGACAGGCATCATTCCACTTCCTAGTCACCAAGGGATCAGTGAGGGGGGGGGGGGAACACCGCTATGTAACTTTCCTTCATTCCTGGATCCAAGTCCACCATCTAGCTGAAAGCTCCTCTCTTTCCTGGCACCACCTGCCATTTCTAACACCAGAGAGAAAAGAGGCAGCAACCAGGAATTTTTTCATAGTGGCTGCACCAAGACCTCATAAAAATCATATTTTAACTGATAAATTAGTTCTCGGTTGTTGTTACCAGCCAGTTTGGAAGCAAGGTTTTTTCCCCCTCTCACACACTTTTTGTTTTTTGGAAAGCAGGTTAAAAATACAACAATAAAGTTCATTGGGAGCAGTGAGTGCTACAAATTCAAAGTCTAACACTGCCACTGTAACATGTGCTTCTGTAGACAGGGATCCCTAAGGTTTACACCTATAAAATTTCTGGACATTCTGAAGCCATTGGGGGGGGGGGGGATCCTCCCACCATGGACATTTTGGTGAACATATGCAATAGTTACTTTCCTATCAAATGTAAACTTCTTTTACTGATTTAACAAGAAATCCATCGTTTATAATTTAATAAGCATACAAAACTGTACTATTTGGTGTATTCGTATCAGAAGTATAAATGTTTTCATTTTCTATAATTAAAATAACACATATCTCTGATACTTGAGGAAAAAGTTGTCAACTGCTGTACTCTACACTTCCATAGCACATGTATCGTTAAATTTTGCTATCCGAGAGCGAGTAAAAAATAAAAATAGCTAATAGAAATCAAATTCTGTAGGAAAAAAAGAAAGTTTATTATTTGGACAGAAACACTCAGACAATAGCTAGAAAGGTACACTTCTTGACCTTTTGGCTAAAATCAAGTGTGTTGTAAGACCACTAGCATATCTGAGTATTAAGTTAGACTTTATATCATTGAAAACGCTGGACTCTTTTAATAAGGCATTATCATTAAACTTGTTATAGCATAGTTTTAGAGGGTAGCTGTGTTGGTCTGCTGTAGAAGAGCAAAATTGCCACAGAGACCCTCTCTGTGGGAGTTTGCTTTCTTTCAGAACAGAAGCGTGCACCTTTTCGCTTCACCTCTCCTCAGCCTCCTTCCCTCTTTAGCTAGCCTGCAGGCAGGGAGTTCCACAGGCGCTTCTGGAGAGTAGGCGGGGCAGGAAAGAGGCTACGCACCAAGAACGCGAACTTACCCCCTGCGGCCGCCGTAGCCAAGGCGATTCCCTCAAAAGGTGACTGTAGCGCCGCCGTTTGAGTTCGCCCTACTTTTGTAACTGTCCAAAATCTCGCGATATGCGTGCAGAACGCGCTCCAGACATGCTCTCGCCCACGTGACAGGAAGCAGCATGGAGCTGTGCGGGCGGGTCTGGGCACTTTTGGCAGCTAAGGGAGCCGCCGGACAATGGGGTCCGTGGAGGGCTTGGTGTTATCTTCGTGGCAATGCAGCCCTTGGGAGGCGGCGCGGGATGAGCACGGGACGTTTTGCTGGGGGCCGTCAGGACCAGCAGCAGGACTGGAACCACCGGAACAAGACGGTGCTTACCTACCTGGCGGCTGCAGTCGTAGGCATGGCAGGTGTGTCCTATGCGGCCGTGCCGCTCTACCGGCTCTATTGCCAGGTGAGAGATCGGCTGTGCAGGGGTTGCAGTGTGGAGTCCCCACTCTGCTCACACCGGAAGACCGTGGGCTTCTGTCAGCTCCACCTACCTCACGGGGTTGTTGTGAGTTCTGGAAATGGAGTGGCAGCGTGGAGCCAGGGTTCTCCGCTCCTCATATGACTGCGCTTAAAGAAATACTTATATATAAAGTATGAGCAGTCTCCGACTTTCCATACGTGAAAACAAACATCCTTTTTTGTTCTTAGTGTTTAGAGATCTATTTATTATTCGGTATCTGGGCCAAATGTTACCTCCCAAGTCGCCTTCAGAGGTATCCAGAAACAGAAACCCCCCTTGACGGTTAAGGGCATCTTTCATTTGTAGGTATACAGTATATACAGATATTTCCCTACCGGTGACGGTATAGAAAGGGTGGGGAGCAGCAGTCAAGCCATTGATCCCTCCATTTGTGATAGACCTACCTGAACAGAATGCATATGTGCACGTAGACTATGCTAATAAAGGCTCTGTCCTTTTGGTGAAAATACATTTGGATGTCTTGAATAGAATGCAGTTCATATGACTGTAGGTGCTGTGCTACATTGGGCATAACACAGGTAAGGGTGGGTCCAGTATGCTTGATTCCGCTTTCCTTCTACACAAGTTTCTATGTATGTATATGCTGTGTGTACTGGTGTGTGCCTTGATGTACCTAACTTTGTCTTGTGCATGTTTACCTGGAAGTTAGTACTGCTGAACTTCATGAGATTGGCTCCTGAATATACACAGAATTCTAGCCTTCTACGAGAAGAGGGTTTAGTTGATGAGCTGTGTTGAGGGTTCTAGGTGTCATCTTTTTTCATCCATAGTGTTTTAGGAGGTAAAACTTGCTTCAGTAAAATAAGTCCAGAGGATAATTTTGTTTTGCAAGGGAAAGCAAATGGGGTGTGCTGGGGGGGGGGGGGTGCATACAAACACCCTTTTCTATCCCTAAAGAGTTGGTGTGGTGTAGAGTAAACATGACAGTGTGGAAATAGGCACTGAGTTGTGTTCAAATCCCTCCTGTAGCATGAAGCTCACTGGGTGATCTTGGGCCAGTCACACACCTTTAACCTTCAGCATAGGGTTGTGACGATGAAAAGGTTGTTAACCGCATGCATGCTTTTTATTTATTTTTGCTCTAATCCTCCACCTTATAGCATGTCAAGATTTTATTTACTGTGTTGTGGCTACCTACCCTTTGCCCCATCTTAGTAAGTCAAAATACTTGTCTGTACTGCAATAATAGCATTTTGGGATTTAGCCATAAAATGGTGGGAGAGTTAATTGGAGAGTTCCCTGAATTGATGGAGGTTGTTATGGCAGGGCAGCGTTATAACACAACTTTCCCCCCCAGATGGTGATAGCAGAAATGTTGTGATGTACATCTAATTTTGAAAGGTCAAACCTTCACCTTGTTCCTGGCTCCTTGGAAGACAAGAAAGTGGTCTGCTGTTTCTTGTATGCTTCCATAGATATAAACATGCTTGGCTGATAAAGCTTCACTAAAATAATGTTTTGAATTTCTGTTTCCCCTTTCATCCATGTATGTAACACCCCTGCTCCTCCCGTAGCCTACCACGCAGGTACCCTAACACTGCACATTTATTTAGGTGTGGGCTCCATTGAATACAGTGGAACTTACTACTTAGTACAAAAGAAGATTTGATTGCAATTCTATATACACCTGTTTCTAAATAAATATGAACAAATTCAGACTGTGAAGATAAAATCCTGTTCCCACATACCTGTGAATAAGCTCTGAAGCCAATGGGACTTGCTGCTGAATCAACAGGCTGTGAGAATTTTACTCTGTTTCCAAAGTGTTCTTCCTTTTACTTGTAGGAACAGGCCTTGGTCTCCTCTCCAAGGATGGGGAAAGGAAGGGCAAATTTCTCCTTTCCAGAGGAGGCCAGTTGGGCAAGAAGTAAACAAATAGAAATAGGTGAGGGGACAAGACCTGACAGGGAAAAATTTGGTTGATGCCACTCAAGGTTGCTATAGGTAATGGTAATAATGTGCTGGCCCACAAGCTGAACTTTGGCAACTGAGGAGCTGCAGGTGGCTCTTAAGCTATGGTTTGGCCACACCTGCTCTATATAAATGTGTTAAATATGCTTTTCTGACCTAATATAATCAGCTCTTACTGACTATGCCAAAAAATTGTAATCTGTTACAACTTTGAAGCTTATGGTCCTTAAAATATTCTTGGAATGTTTGGTTCTTTTGTTTGTTGAGCCTGGTTTCAATAATTATAACTTTTTTTTCCTTTAAGGCTACTGGACTTGGCGGGACTGCAGTAACAGGTCATGGTTCAGACCAGATTGAGACGATGGAATGTATAAAAGATCGTGTTCTTAAAATCACTTTCAATGCAGATGTACATTCAAGTCTTCAGTGGAATTTCAGGCCTCAACAGACTGAAGTTTATGTGAGTGATTAAAGTGATCTGGTAGACAGGTTTATGGATTTTCCCTTGCAGGCAGCATTGCTGGGAATTCTAAACTTTGTGTATGACCTCCTAAGGTGTGTGTGTGTGTGTGGCTGTGACTAATTATGCTGAATTGTACTCAAGTGATGTACCCCTTATTTTATAATTAGCCTGATCAGGCGCTGGAAGCCTGCAAGCTAGGGCTGCCAAGCCGCGGCGGGGGATCCGCACGTCTTCACAGGATCCCTGCCGCGGGGGACAGCGATAAGCGTTGCACCACCGTCGCCAGGATGTGCCGCTACTTGTCGCTCTGGCAACGGGACTCCAAACAGCCCCATTGCCAGAGCGACGCGTAGCGTCACATCTGGGCGACGGCGGTGCAACGCATATCGCTGTTCCCCTGCCGCGGCTTGGCAGCCCTACTGCAGGCTGTACTGATGTATAACAGTCTGGGCTGTACTGATGTATAACAGTCTGGGCTGGTGCTGTAAATTTATTATAAAGTTTCAGACTTCTGTGCACCTTCATTGTTGTGGGATTTTTTTCTTCAAAAAATTCCTGCTTTCAAAGCCCCCCCCCCATTTAAATGCAGATAATCCTAATCCTTCTATTTAATTATGAAATTGGGGAGAGCCGTAGATAACATGAATAATTGAACTCTGCTAATAACAAATCTGAATTTTTAATACTTGGAAACAATCCTTTGCTGCAGATGCATTAGATTCTGATTCACTGATACAAATCAGCCGTGTAATAAGGGTATTGCCAGAAGGCTCAGACACAGTATATGTGAGCTCAGAAAAACTTGTTGCAGTTCCCGCATGAGAATTTCATTTGCTTCATTTATATCCCACTTTTCCCCAGTGGAGACTCAAACTGGCTTACAGCATTTGCCCCTTCACTCATTTATCTTCACAACAACCCTATAAGGTAGGTTAGGCTGAGTTTGCATGATTGGACCAGGTTCATCCAGCAAGCTTCCGTGGCAGAGCAGAGATTCAAATCTGGGTCTTGGGGATCCTAGTCCAGCATTCCAACCATTACGCCATACTGGCTCTTAGTGTGTTCCTCACATCTGCATGTGTGTTTGTTCTGCTAATTGTGGCACAGCATACAGTGAGTGGGAGAGTGTTTCTTGGCTAGAACATAACGCCGTGGTGAAGAGTTTTTGATTTTCCTGGATTTCTGACCTTTAGGGAGAAACACCCTTTCCTTTCAATTCTAGTTTGTCTCTCCCCCCACCCCTCTTTAGACTGATGCATTGTAAAAGTTCGGTAAGAATGCACATGAAGACCAAAACAGTCCATTTCAGGACAAGCCCTTAGTGTAATTTGACTCAGTTTTAATTGTCATTTAAATAATCTGAGTGCATCTTGGTTGGCAGTAGATGGTTGAGAGAAAAGCAAAAAAAACCTCACCAGAGAAAACTTTCCCCTGTCTTGTAGGTAGTTCCAGGAGAGACTGCACTGGCGTTTTACAAAGCAAAGAATCCCACAGATAAACCAATAATTGGAATCTCTACCTACAATGTGGTGCCTTTTGAAGCTGGCCAGTATTTCAATAAAATACAAGTAGGTGAAGTGTGATGCTCTGAAAGCAAGTTGCAGATGTTGATTCACCTGTGCTCAGCTCAGTTTTCAGAAGTTGATCCTGCACTGACCTATGATAGTGGAGCACTGAATAGCACATACATGTCCATACCTCACCCAACACAGGCATAAGGGGTAGGGGACCTCATTCTCTGGAACCAGAGCCTAGCCCTATCCTCTGCATGTGAAGCAGCTACTGTAAATTTGTCTCTTTAGTGACTTTGTTAACTCTTCTTTCTAGTATGCTTTAAACCCAGCCTTCTTCTGATCAGCTGAGGGCACTGTACATGGCTCCCCCTTATCTATTGGTCAACTGTTCTAAAACAGTCAATCTGAGTGCTTTGCAGTTGTCCAAATGTGCTGATGCCCCAAACTGCAGAAATAAGAAACCGCTATCCTTACGTGGTTGCTTGTTCTTTCATAAATGTTCTTAGTACTTTTAATTCAAGCAGCTGTCACAACCAAAGTATTTGCAGACAAGACCGGGATCCCTGGCATGTGACAGTAGAAAGCAGCAGAAAAACGTCAAGGGAAGACCATCAAAGATTAAATGCACTTGAAATGTCTGAGTAAAGGATATATTAAGTAAGTGTTTATAGATGTATACATTTCAATTTCTCCTCTTCTGGATAAGCGGCTTAATAATGGAACTGTAAATAATAACAATAACATACAATCTTGTATGTTCCTCTGCTTGATTTATGACCACAGGGAGTCTTCAGACACTTTTATTGCATTTAAGCAAGGAGAATCGACTGGTTGGATTTATGTGCATACCTTGTATTCAGTACCTGTGAGCGCAATTACTATGATGTTTATCCGTATCTCAGTGCTGAAGTATGATATTCCATGAGCACATATGATTCTATTATGGGAACATTGTGTTTGTTTTGGGTTGTGGTCCACCAACTCATTATAGACACTTATTTGTAATTTAAACACTTAAACATTTCAAATGCATTTAATGTTTGATGGCTTTCCCTTGGTTTTTCTGCTGTTTTCTTTTTGTTGTTCAGTCGCACAGTCGAGTCCGACTCTTTGCGACCCCATGGACCAGATCACTTATTTGACGACAGAAAGGTGTGGGGATTTTTTCCCCTTACTGTTGCAAACAAGATTATAAAGAGCATTTTATGAACTTTTCAATGATTTCACTGCATTATCTCATCTGAGCTTGGCACTGAAGCTTAGTTTAGAAACAGATCGTATGCATGTGTTATGTATCATTGAATGTTTGGCTTGTTTTTTTAACTCTGTTTTTCCAAACATCCAGTGCTTTTGTTTTGAAGAACAGCGACTTAATCCCCATGAAGAAGTGGATATGCCGGTGTTTTTCTTCATTGATCCTGAATTTGCTGAAGACCCAAGGATGGCCAATGTTAACTTGATCACTCTCTCTTACACTTTTTTTGAAGCAAAAGAAGGACACAAACTACCTCTCCCTGGTTATAAGTAAATATTGTAGGATCTGGACTCCACATTGGAGATTCTTCTGCTATGCAATATTGATGATTTACAGACTGCACCACTATTTACTCTGCAGCAGAGGAGGAAGATGATGAAAATCTGAAAAGCAGGAATTCTGTTTTAGGTGTACAGTAATATAGATATCTGCTTGTTCTGAAGATGTGATATTTAACTTTTACACATGCCTGTGAATACAATGAATAAAAATCACTCAAGATACTCATTTCTCTCGTTGACAGGTAGATCTTCATTACAGATATAAAATACATATATGTAAAATATGTGTAGCTTCACTTTTGGGAACTGATGTTTGATTCATCCAACACTATTAATGTTAATTTAGGTATAATTATGCCATATATGTAGCATTCACATCCATAAAATTCACTAGTATTAGCCTGCAAAATTTTTTTTTAAAAAAAGATGTAAGTGCAGATGGAATAATAAAATGTTGTGTTGAAACATGTGGTGGACTTTTATTGTCCTGAACCAGAGTACATATTTTACTGAATAATCTGAAACCAAGCCAAAATCAGTGAGACTGGCTCCTAAAAGAAACTCTATCACTGTCCCAGTTGATCCTGATTTTTGTGTTTCAAATTGTAATCATTCAAGGTCTAGCCTGGTATCCAAGTTATCATCTGGCCAATGCAGCAAGACTGCAGTTCTATCCTCTTCCCTTAAGGGTTACATTAAGCAGATAATTGAGGCCTTTTCCATGTGTGGTATTGTTTATAACAAATGTGAAATGTATTGAATGATTAAGAGGAGGGAACTATGACTACCATAGGTTTTCAGATTCACTAAAACTTCATAAGCTTCTGCTTAGAACATGTCTAAAATGACTAGTTAGCATTTGAAATGCTGAACAAACAACAGCATAAAATATTCACTCTATAAAGGTCTGGATAGTTATAAAAGGCTCACAAGTGAAAATAGCTGTCATCCCAAACTTTCCAATACTTAGCTGTATTACATTATGAAAGAATGGGGTGATGGTGACTATTCTATTAGGTACATTTTCCATCATCCACTGTTTTTTTGAACCATCATGCAACCCTGTGTTGATTGATTCTTCCCAAGTCTTCTGTAAGTCACCTTACATGGGGGTAATGAGTTATCAAAAATTAGGCCACATAGAAAAATCTTGACCTCAGAAGAATAAAATACAACTTCAGCTACTGGAAATTTTCCAAGTATAAATATTACTACTGAGAAAAACATTTGAATGCATCCCAATATACTGTGAAGTCTCAGTAGATACCTCAGCTCAGTGCTAGACAGAACAGACCAAATAAATACATCAGCCACTGTGTGGTGCCCTACTTACATAGTCATGCAAACAATATACATAAAACATGCAGGAGGTTAACTAGAAAAAGAAGTGGGAGAGTTTTTAGAAGGAACTGAACACCTTCTGGAAGCACTGTTTAGTAATAACTCAATTTTCCACCATAGGTTGTTTACTTGGACTATAAAAACTTTATAGCAGTTGTAGAACATAAGTAAATATTGCACACACACAAGGCAGGGAGACTTACAGTGTACAGTATGCAAGGCTACAAACAAACAGGCCAGCTGCAATTACTTTTATTATTTGTCTTTCCTGGGCAGAATCTCAGAAAAGCACACATTTTGCTTTTATGCAACGTGAAGGCACTTCTTCCAGTCACTCTTCTCTCTTATATGAGTCATAACCAAACAACTGCATAGATAACCTGAGTTGTTAAGGGCAGGGGGAAACAAAGGAACCCCAAAATTAAGTGACTCTGGAATCATTTTCCCTTTCAGTTGGTTACTTGGCAGCTTCTTCCACTGAGGCCCCATGAAACCTAGAGCTGGACTCGCTTGTGCAGTATTTAGTGAGTATTCACTGGTGAAAACAAATACATGTGGGGAAAATGGATGGCAAGTGAAACGGAGCAGAACTTGCTAAATGTTCTCATACAGTCATAAGGGAGTCACATTTCCTTTGTTGTGAAAAGCTTGTGCAAGTTTCTTAAAAGACAACTGGTGCATTAAATAACTATGCAAAAAAGTGTCATGGTGAGATCAGAAGAGCAAGAAACGTGTGTACAAAAACTTAACCTCAAAGTATTAAATCTTTTAATTAGCAACTAGTTTTACAGCAGAATGGAGATGTGTGTGTGGCCCAATTCCTCATAAAGTGGTCTCATTGCCACAGCCACTACGTTTCTCTTCCTCCTGGGCATCT